GCAAAAGAGAGCTTTTGCTCTGCAGGACCTGCATCAACTCGAAAGCTTCATGTCCTGCAGCTCTCTGCTCAGCTGCTCTCTGCCAGCGTTCCCCACCAGCCAGCTGCCACCAAATGCGTCAGCATCGGGAACTCGCCTGCCTCCGAGCTGTCTCGTTTCTAGAGGAGAGATTGCTGGTGGCTGGACCTGCCCGTGGAAAGGCTCTTCACATGCCCGGAGAGAGCCACGCACGTGCTCCTCCTGTCCCCCAAGACACGATGCTCTTTGCCATGGTGAGATCGCCGGCATCCTGAGCGTGTCCCACATGTACATGCTCAGACCCCAAAGCCTCAAGCCCTCCTGTCAGCACAGCCCAGAGCAAAGGAGCTAAACAGCAGCTTCTGGTCAGCAGGTAAATCCTGAGCTGTGCAAGGCTGACACACACTCGGTCCCCCCACGCAGCACCAGCATGGCTGGGGGTTCCCCATAAACCCAAGGCTATTTCCAGCTTGTCAAACTAGGGAAACACCACTTGATACTAGACATTTCCCTGAAGACAGGGGGAATGCCCCATCTGCGTTGAAATGCTTTCCAGTTTATCCCACACACGCAGACGTAGCAATACGTGCACCAAGCTACCTCTGCAGCCCTCAACCCCTCAAGCTGCAAAGCTCTGAGATGCTGGAGTGAAACCAGCCACCCCTCCCTGCCAGGTCAGCCGCCTGAAGACTGCCATTCCTCGTCCAAACTGGTTTTTGGACTATCCTAAACAAAACAAACGGAGCCACTTTTCTCCCTGGTAGGTCTCAGTGCTGTCAAGGATGGAAACAAGGTGTCTGGAAGGAAAACCCTGCCCGAGAGAGGCCAGGGAAGACCCATCCTGAGCGATCACCGCGACACTTACTGGTTTTCACCTTGAGGGTGTAGGGGTTTTTCTGCTGGATGGTGTGGGTGAAGTGGAAGCGCGCGTTGCAGCTGTAGTCGGTCTGGGCGTCCCGCAGCATGACGTTGGAGAAGTACAGGTCACCGTTCTGGCCTTGGGAGACACGCTTGTCCTGGTGGATGGGGTCCATGGCTGCAGGGGAGGACAGAGCAAGTCAGGTACACCCGCGGGGGGCTGCATGGAGGAGAAACCCCGGCCCCAAGCCGCCTATGGGTGCCTCCAAGCTCCGAACTAGCAGTCACGACCCTCAACGTAGTTATTTTAGACCAACCCTGCAGGCGGTGGAAAGGCTGCCCCACAGGGTTCGAGGGGGGGAAGGAGGGGGGGGGTCCCCCCGACTCACAGCTGCTCATCCAGAAGATGACGGGAGGGGGCAGACCAGGCGGCGGGTTGCACTGCAGGCTGAGCGGGGCGCCTTCGTCCACCTCTATCACATCCACCTTCTCCTTGGGCCACAGGGGAGACTCTGCCACATGAAGTAAAGGCACCGCGTGAGGAAGGGAGGGGAGCAGCTTTACAGATCTCTTCCCGCCGGAGCTGGCCTGGTTTCAATAGAGCGGCCTCGATGCAAACTCCATTTCTACATGCGCAAGACTCCCTTAAATCTATACCAAGTATTTCCCTGTTCGCTACAGCCATAACCCCCACGCCTTCATCTCGGTCCTGTGGCTGGATATGTCCCGACACAGGTAACACATGAAGCACGCTGAGACGTTGGAGCACTGGATATTTTCCATGCCTCTTCTGCAAAATCTCATACGAGGCCAACAATCCCTGCTCTCCCCGGGGCTGCTGGCTGCTTGCTCTGCGCTGCTGCTGCTGATACTCACTAGAAACCTGGAGGTGGATTTTGCTGGAGAGAGCAGTGCCGTAGTCGTTCCGGGCGAAGCACTGGTACTCGCCCTCGTAGTCCTCCGGCCGTCCCCCGCTGTGGAAGTCAACGATAAGCGTCCCCGACCGCCGCCGCTTGGACACCTTGGGGTCCTTCGCCACGTTGAAGAACTTCCCGTTCCGCGTCCAGGAAAACCTGCAAGCGTGGGAGGGAGGATGGGTTTGTAACCACAGACCGTAGTTACCCAGTGAGATCCTTACCGGTGCCGTGCAAGCCCACAGCTGGATTAGCTGGTGGTGTAAAGGGCACAGCTCGACCAGAGGGGAGCCAGCTCTAATGAACAGCAGAAGTCCAGCGTAACACGGGCTGTAAATGCACTTACGTGGGAAAGGGGTTCCCTTTGGCTTCACATTCAATGAAGATGTTATCCCTTGGGTCGACGATGTAGTCCTTCACAGACTGCTTGGTGATTGTAGGGGGCTGAGGCACTGCAAAACAAACAAAAGGCCATGAGGAGGGTTGGGCAAAGAGGGTGAATCCCCTCTCTGCCATCCTGCAGCAGATCCCGATGGGATTTCAGCTCCTTCCCCAGGCTGGACATGCAATTTGTGGTTTAAAGCCCTTCGACACCTGAGGAAATTACCATGAGCATTTGTCAGGGTGTGCTACTACTCATCACCCCTCGGACCATTGGCACTGTTCAGGCTCCCTTTTGGTACCGGGAAGCCCGTTTCTCACTCGGTGTCGTGGTCTCATTAAGAAATTCCATGGTTACATCTTCCTGCTACCTCAGGAGTCGGACTGAAAGGCACCCTGGCTGTGCCCCTCAAAGAGAGGGGCTGCAGCTGGGACAGGGAGCCAGAGAGCTGCTGCAAGACGTTTACAGGTACTCCCTGTGCAAGGAAGAGGCTCAAAACCTCCCAGGTCTACCCCAAAGGAGCGCAGAACTGGTGTTCGGAAGGACAGAGCTAGCGAGGCTGCAAATGTGTCAGTGCATGGAGCTGAGCTTGGCACATGCCCTCACCAAGGCAGAGGAGCCTGAGCTCCTCCGAGATGTGGCTTTAGCAACAACAAGCCTCTGCAGAAACAATATTTGCAATGCAAAGACGCTGTCTGGTTGCTCGACCTGCTCCAGGGAAAGCAGCAGAGCCTAAGCCCTCCTCCCAAGCTGCTCCAGCACCTCCCGTGCCTCTCCCAGCCGTGCCTGGCTGTGCAAGAAGAGGCTCATCCTGACTCTGGCCAGCCCTGCCACCGGAGCGGGCGATGCACCCACCTCCGCCGCGTGCCAAGCCACAGCCGCCACCAGCTCCCTGCTTGGTAGGGACCCCTCGTGCCCCGTTTCGGCCATGCAGGGGAGACGGACACATAGACACCGAGGGCGAGGGGAACACTTACATTCGCTCTGAATATTTGCTGCAATTCCCAGTGTGCAAGCATAATGAAAAAAAGAAAAAAGGTTATCTGAAGAACAAACCTACACACATCACGTACACAAACATAAACACACATCGTTATTGTAGGGCTTGCAAATACTACACACGGATCATTTCACAATTCAGGCGTGTTCTAATCTATCTCCTCACTGTCCATGGGAGAGAAGCTGCTGCTGAGCCCTCCTCTTAGCTGTCAGCTGCCTCTGCAGCAGGGGTTTTCAGGCCAAAAGAGAGCACAGGGTGCCAGGAGGGGCTTTGGTATGCTCACACCGCTTTTGCCTGCAGGCGCTGGTGGCCCCGAAGTCCAGCAGGTTGCCTGCAGGAGTTAGCAATGTTCCCCCCTTCCCCACGGCCAGGCTTATCCTGAGCACCCCCTAGTTTCATCCCCCTGAGCCAGAGGCTAATACAAGCCTGAAAAACCCTTAGCTGGCTTTTTAGGTGATGCTCAAACCCAAAGAAGATGCCTGTAATATAGAGATCTATATCCTGTCCCCAGGATATGGGCAGGCAGGATTTTATCCAAAGATGAAAACTGGTTAGGGTTGGGGCAGGGAAAAAGCACGTCAGCAGGCTTAAAAGAAAGAGCAAATAGCGCAGCTCCCCCCAACACAGGGTGAGCGGGGGCTGTTCCCTCTGCTGTGAGGCTTTGCCCACACATCTGCCCTCTCCCGAGCTGCTTCTGCCCTTAAAACATACAGTTTGGGGAGCAAAATGCCTCCCTGGGGAGATCTCCAACTCCCGAGGCGTGTCAGCAAGGGCAGCTGGGTGCCCACCAGCACCTCGACCCCTCTCCTGCCGGTGGGGACCAGGCAGAACCCACACACCAGCACCTGGGCGAGGGAGCTGGTCTCCGTGGGGCAGGGAGGACTTTCACAGCTAGCGAGAGGTGGAGCACAGGGCTTGTGCAGCCCCAGAGCCTGTGATTTGCACGTTTCTCACCCCAAGCCGGAGCAGCTGGGGCTCTTCGCACACCACCCGCTCAAACCTGCCGGCGTTGGGGCGCAGGAGGTGCTTTCATTAGCTCAGGCGAGCGGTGGGCGAGGGAGCCCTGATCACCGGGTGGCTGAAACAGGAGCTGAAACCAAACCCCTGGTGGCTCTGAAGGCTGGGAGGGAAGCGAAACAAAGCTGATGCTCCCCGTGTGTCCCAAAGGGCTAAGGGAGGTGGGGAAGGGGTGGCTGGTGGCGACAGGTGTCGGCAGGACCCCTAACCCTCGCTGGGGGGGCTGGAGGTGCTCCTCCCCCACCTGCTCTTGGCACTGCTGTGCAAAGCCGCCTCCGTGCACGTTATTTGCAAATACCTGCCATGCAAGGGACTCATTCAAGAAAGGATGACGAAAGGACACTCTTAGTTACGGTCCCAGTTTCCCCACCAGCACTGGAGGGGACGATGCTCTCCTGTGTCTCAGTGCTGTGCGGCAGGGAGGAGGAGGAGGCAGTCGCGGCTAGAGAAACGGTGAGCTGCTGAGGAGCAGGGAGCTGCTGCAGGCTCCGCCAGCTGTCAGCATTTCTCTTACTTTTCGAAGGTCACATTACATTTAAATAGCAAAATTACTCCTTTCCTGAGGCGAAGCACAAGAGGCGGCAGAAGGCGGCCGTTTGCAGACCCGTGCAGTTTTCTCCAGCCGCACTGGCCCCGGCTTCCACGCTGCCTGCCTGCATTTCTGCACTATTACAGATGCTAACAAAGCCAGGCCTGCAGGAACCACCGAGCTGTGCGCCTCGAATAAAATTCCCATTGCTAGGAACAAGAGTGCCCCGTGCACGTTACAGTGCTGACTCCAGGGGAACCGATATCTTCATCCACAATCATCTGGAACGGAGCAGAGCAAGGGCTCGAGTCTGGGACCCCCTCCCTGTGCTTTCAAGTAACACAAGTGTCTGTTCCCCTCCACAAATCAGAGCTTTCCCCACCCATTCTCTTCAGTCGTTTCCATGCTTCAGCCAAAAGCCACTGCCCCAAATTTTTCCGTCCTGTTTCGCTGCCCAGAGCCAGGGATCAGCTGAGGCACCACCGGCACACCCAGGACTCCACAAAGCAACAACCCACAGGGTAGAAATTTCTCCTCTCAAGAGCAACCCTGGCACTTCAGCCTGAATTTAGACCCCAGCAAAAAGCTGTGCTTTTTCTACTAACGCACTGCTCGCTGGAGGATTTCTGTGTGTTGCGCTGTCGGAAGAGATTCCCTGCAGCGACAGGCTGATTATTATTAACAGCCGCTACAGGAGGAAGCTGGGACACAAAGAAATTATGAAACTGGTTTCCAGAACAGTGGCTGAGCATCTCTCAGTACAAACCCCCATCTCAAGTGCATTCAAACAAGTCATGCATTTCCCATGTGCTGGCCTGAAGATGCCCATTCAGCAGAAACATCAGCCCGTGTCTCCCTTCCTCCTCGCTCCATATCCCCCAGTTCTGAATAAAACATAACTCCTGTCTCATGATTAACCAAAAACTCCCGACAGAGTGAGAGAAAAATCGCATTGCTCTGCAGGACCTGCCTGGGTCCCCACTGGCCTCGAGGACCCAGGTGTCAGCTCATGGCAGCATCTGCCAGATAAGACTGTCAATGAGCTCATGTCCTCCACAAAAGAGCATCCCAAAGCCTGCCTGTTCTCCGTAGGGACACCACAAGTCCTGGGTTGCTCCACTTAAATCAACAGGCTGAAGACTTACCAGCTTGGCTGAGATGCTCTGTTCCATTTTGACATGTGGTTTTGAGTCCACTGCTCAGTTTTTGAGATAGATTGACTAAATCAGAGAGGGATTTAGGTGACTTTCTGCAGGGCGTGTGGTTTAAAGAGAAAAATAGCCCCAAACAAACAACAGAGAAGAAAACTTCAGGCTGGACTAGAAAAGCCTCCTGAGCTGTGCACACCTTCCCGCCACCCCCTCGACCATTTCAGCACGAGTTTTTACAGGGGTAAACCACAACTTACAATCCAGAGGGACTTCGATGGCGCTGATGAGGTGATGAAGGCAGAGGATGAATGCTATTCCTGCGCAGGTGAGGTGGTGTCTTTGCATGACCATCTTGGACGCCTATGGCAGCGTTAGGACCTCAGTTGCGTCCCCCCGAGGCGAGCAGACCTGCGGCGTGCGCAGACGGATCCTCAGCTGCAAAACAAACAGAAACCTAGCGGTCACTGAGCCCTTTATAGCTCTGTTTCTGTTGTCTTCCTTTTGGCAACTGTGCAGAGAGAGTGTTTCCAAGCCAAAAATATTTGTGTGGAGGGATGGGAGTGTGAATAGTGTCAGAAATAGTTTCCAGGCTCTGGTGACTTGGGTACAAGTCCACGGTCACTGTCCTCCCAACACCTGGGTGGTTGTGCTGGCAGAAAAACAGCCTTATGGGGTTATTTGTGCTCAAACCCTGGAGAGACCTCTTGGATGGAAGGAGAAGGACCATGCTCTCCCCTGGGACTGATGGAAAGTTACTCAGAGCCATTGAATACAAAAGCAGTGAACAGTCCCCGTGGGATAAAATAAAAAGAATGATTTGCTGTTTAATAATAATAATAATAATTGTATTTTATGCACAAGAAACGGGAAATATCTGCTGCCTCTGCTTGCAGCCTGGCCATAGCAGGGAGCCAGCTCCGGAGACCCCCTCGTGTACCAAAGAGGCTGTCACTGAGCCGGCACAGCTCTAGCCGGAGTCGGGGCACGGTAGGACCTTTCCCAACCGGTCTCTAAACAAGCCCATTTCCAACCAGGTTCCAGCTGCTTCCCTCCCCAGCCAGTCCCTGGTGCCAGATGTGCAGCACACTGCCGGGCTCCCAAAGGCACCCATGCAAACCTCCCGGGGACCGCCAGGTTATCGTTTGCCTTTTCCAGACACGCACCTCGTGTTTTGCTGTTAATAAACCCATAGACCAAATGCAGATTAAAAAAAAAAAAAAAAACAAACAAAAAAGAGTGAAAAGGAAGATAAATTATCCCGTTGCGCCACAAAAGCCCCCTTCGAAAGGCTGCTGAGGCGCAGAGGTTGCATCGTGGCTGGGTTACAACTCCCTGCAAGAGAGACACACAAAGGGCACCGGCCGTGCAGACAGCTCGCTCGGCTAAGAACAAAAATAACGCCGGGGCAGCAAACAGTGGAAAATCCCCAGCCTTGCTCCACGCCGCTCCTCCCCGGCCCTCGCACAGGATTTTCGCCGAGGTGGGATGTCGCCAGGCAGGGGAGCGGGGCGTAGAGGCCATTTGGCAAGCCAGGAGAGCCCGTCTTCATGAAATATAGATCACCCGCTGCAGCTTTGGATGCTGCTCCCCCTTCAGCTGTTCCCCAGCCCGGTACGAAGCAATTGTGGGAGGGAGGCGGGGGGGGACCCACAGAACAACAGACAAAACCCGGCGAGCGTGGGGCTGCCGGGGGGCTCCAGGTACCGCAGGGAATGCTGCCGGGAGCCAGCGAGGAGCAGATGTCTTGGGAAGCAAACAGCCCTGACACATGGCCCGGGAAGGTCTCCTGAACCCCAGACAGGCTCAAACCCGGCGCAAGACAACTTTTAAGGACACTTTTCCCCGTTACGCTTATGGGGAACAAATGCGCTTAATAATTTCTTCATCCAGCCCTCCTCAGGTGCCATCGGGGTCTCTGGGTCCTCACTCTTGGGCTGAAGCCCGGAGGAACTTGCCGTCCCAGCGTGTCCCAGTTACACCAGATGACAGATTGTAGGTTGTGAAGGGGCTTGGAGGAGAGTGTTGCTTTGATCTTTTTTGCTCCTTCTAAGGATTTTCCAATCCAGCTGTTGCCATAAAAATAGTTAAAGGACAGAATAATTATAGGACTGGGCCAGTAATTAAAGTCATGTCCAGGACTTCCACAGTCCTGTGATCAGGTCATGCTGAACAAAGCTCTTTGAATTACTTCTTTAGCTTTCTGACTAAGGGAAGATATCATTTTGATCTGTAGCCTTCATTTTTTAAAGTGGTTCGTTTCTCCAGTTACAGCTTAAAATGAGTAATGGATCAGCTGGTTTTATGCCTTTCTGTTACTAAGCACAAGTCTGACTTATGCACTGAATCAGCCAATACTGCAACCCGAGATGTAGCGAGGCTCAGATTTCTAGCGTCCTTACTACGCTCACATACTGATGCTTCACATCACTCTCACAAAATACTTTTAAACCCCTTTTTCATTCACAGATGTAGCTCAGGAGGGGAGGTGCAAGGCAGCAAGGATTTAAACAGCGCACATCTCTACAAGCGGCTTGGAGCCCGGAAAGCAAAGAATATGTTGTTTTCTTTAGACTGGGAACTATTAGTGTGAAAGAAATGGCCGTGACACGAAGGAGTAGGTTCCCGGCACAGATGCGTGGGAGATATTTGTACATACACGCATTTTGCATTAAATGGGAATACAGAAAGGGCTGAGCCCCTACACTGATCCATACAGCATACACAGGAGGCATCTAGCTGATGCAAAAGCGTCGCTCCTACCCATCCCCACGTGCACTGGGACTGTAAAAGTAAGGGCTGTACAAATCAGGAGGAGATAAATGTGCAGGTAACTTTTGAGCTGCAAAAGGGAGCATCAGGGACACAGCGGCTCTGGGCTGAAACCGTGGGCAGAGCTACGTGGGACTGACCCTGGCGCTTCCAGCACCGGTGGACGAGCTGGGGGGGGACAGCCCGTACAGCACGGGCGACTGCACGTCCACGCAGAGTGGCGCCGACCAAGAGCAAATAATCAAATCCACGAGAGAGCACGCATGAAATGCATCCCCGCCTTTGGAAGAGCGAACGCTGGGCTCCTCCAGAGCCCCTTTGTCTCGGGGCAGATGTGGGTGCGACTCGCCGTGCGTCAGGAACAATCGGCCACCGTGCCTGCGCGTGTAGGTGGGTCCTGGGGACAGGCAGTGCCAGAGCCCCCGGGCGCGCAGAACACAGCCCACATTGTCAGGGCTGCTCCTCGCCCGGGGACAGGGACATCTCCCCAGCCCAGAAGGCTGGAGCTGCGTTCGTGGAGGGCATGAACGTGCTTATCTGGGGACGCTGACAGTCGTGAAGCTGTCTGATGTCTTCCTCTGGCTTCTGCCCAGAGCCATGGAGGCGAGCGCTTTGAGGGTGGGGATGTTCGGGAAGCCTCTGAGCTGGCTGGACCCAAAACCCATCTGAAATCTGGGTCCATAATGTTCAGTAAAAACACAACGCAGAGGAAAATCTCACACAAATAGTTGTGAGATTGTGATGCCATCAAATAGGAATTTAACTGCTTAACTGCATTTCTCATCCAGCACTGAGCCTGCATCCAGGCACCAACAAAAGCCCTGTCCCTTCTCCCCTTTCCTCCAGCTACAGACAAGACAGCAACGAGATGAACTCGGATGTCTTTTTCCCCAAATACTTACCCAGAGTTCAGAAATGTTTTTCAGACTTCTTGGTTCTTTCCATTTCCCCCATGGCCTGTTGTAACACCAGTTTTCAGAAACTGTTAGTCATGGGTTGAGAAATACATCCCAGACCTCGGCCAAGACCTCCCTCCAGATGCATCAGATACTTTTGCAAATACATTTTTCTCTGAACAACAGCATGAGTAACCCCAGGACAAGATCTTTAAAACTAGAGGCTGCTCCTCTTGACGAAGTCCAGCCAAACATCCACACAGCACAGGGTGCATCTAAAATCAGGAGGTGGATGTGCAACCTTAGCTCTGCTCCGTTTGGAGCCTCCATCGTCTCTCTGAACGGACACTGGAGGGAAAAACATTAAATGCGAGAAAGACAAAAAAGGGATGGACATCTCTGGGGATGACAGAGACACCCATGATGGGACGATTAGTCCCAGGGCTGAAAATACAGATGCTGGGACTCAAAGGCAGCAGAGCCTGCCCCAGCTGAGGGCTGGGCAACCAGGATGGGAACTGGAGGCTCTGGAGAGGATTTGTGCTTTCTACAGAAGAATTAGCCACAGTTTTTACACTTGTGCATCAGTCAGGGCAAACCACCTTTCCAGAAGGAAACATCTTGCTGTGCATAAGCCATCCTGCACTACAAATCACACAGGCAGAGGACCGTATCCTGGCATCGTGAGTTCTCTGTTCTGTTTTAAAGGCAGAGAGTGATTTTGAGGCGTTGTCAAATGTTTTCCAAATAAATCTGGGTTTTCAAACGATAGCGCAGCAGGTAAGCAACTGCCCCGAGGGTTGGTGGAGTCAAGAGGAGGTACAAAGAGTCAAGGGCTATCAGATGCTCGTGTGGCCTGGCAGAGCCCAGCCTGGCTCCAGGGAGACCCACATTGCCCCCACCAGCAGGGACAAGCCCCCCATGACACCCTGACGATCGCAGCACCCACCAGGCGAATGTGCCTTGATTATCCCATGTGGCAAACGGGATGTCACTGAAACTGTACCGGGCCCATGTGCTGTTACAGCGTCGTTGCCCTGCTCTGCTGCAAGTTTCACGCTCTCAAGTTTCTCTGTATGTAAAGACACCACTCACGTACCAATAATTAAACCAGAAAACACATCCAAGTGCTTTGTCTGTGAGCCACCCAAAAATCTGCAGTGAAAGGGGGAGGGAAAAAAAAAAAAAAAGCAGCTTTAAAAATTCCTTTAGGTCCTTCTCCATCTCCTGCGAGCCCTGCTCCCGCGTCAGGAGAGCTGCGGATGGCACCACCAGAGAAGGGTTTCTCTGCAGGCGCTGCCTCCTCTCTTCACAGCTCCTCAGGGACACCAAGCCAGGCAGCGGGCTGCGTACCAGCCTGGCAGAGCTGCAAACCCTCACAGCCATAGCGAGGGAACTTTGATTCTCTATTTCTCCACGCACATGTCGATTTAACATGTACATTGCTTCCTCCCTGCCTCGAGATGGGGGAAAAAAAAGTCTCTCCTTTCCACAGATGGTAGAGCGCTGCGCTAGCGCATCCTCATATCCCAGCCCTGGAGCATCCCTTCTTCCCCCCATGCCGGCGAGCCAGAGCTCCCATCTGCTCAGCACGAACAAGTTTCCCGCTGGCTTCGATTGGCACAGCCAGGAGAGGTGGGAAGGGGGACTTTGCCTGTTGCAGGCTCCCTCTGCCAGCAGAAAGTG